GACAGAAATAAAGAGTTCCTTCTTTTTGGTCTCTTGCCCTAAATACGGAGCAAGGAAAGAACGCTGTGGGTCTAGAAGAGGACTCAAGCAGGGGGGAGAGAGTCAGGTCCTGCCCGTGAATACATCACCATGCATTTGGGAGAGGTGGGAGGAGTGTGATGAGGGCCTCACAGCAGGTCTAATTGTTAAGTTTTAGGGGTTTAGGGGTGCTGGGACCCCAAAATCATAACACACTGGTCCTTCCCGAAAGAATTTGACCCAAGCCTTCTTTCCGCCAAAGACAAGGTTTATTAGAACATCCATCATATTGGGCAGACTCTTAAGGAGTCTGAACATTAGTGAGCTATTGGCTAGATTCTAAAAATCTGAACAGTGGCTAGATTTTAAGAATTTGAGCAATGGCTAGATTATAAGAATCTAAGCAGTGGCTAGATTATAAGAATCCGAGGGTCTTAATGGAGACAAGATGGACCTAATATACAGAAAGATCATGGGAAGGATCTAGGTGTGGCCAAGTAGTCTATGAGGTAATAGAACTCCAGGGACCTGGACTACTTGGCTAAGAGAGAATGAAGCCTAGCTAGGATTAAGGGTGGGAAGTGGCCTGGGGCCATAGGGAGGTAGGGCTAGGCTAAATTAAGGGGAACAGAGAATTGGGAGATTAGGTGTAGCCACAATGAAAGGCCAGTTCATGGGATTATGGCCTCAGGGGAACTGCCAATTTAGCCAAGCGGGAAAGCCCAGGGTTTTTCCTTTTTTGGGGTCTAGATCCTATCCTCATCATAATGAGAGGAGAGTGGATACTTCTGAGCACTACATCCTCTGGTCAGGAAACATACTTTTTCTAGACTGCCTCCTTATTCTTGGGGAATCTAGGGTCCCTGGGGGTATCCAACATGGAAGTCAGGTGGATGGGGTGACAAAAATCCGGAAGAATGATGTTTTGGTCCCGGGGTTGACAGGTGATATGGTGGAAGAGACTGTATTTAGTCCAATACCATATTTCCTATCTTTTTTAAAATTTGGGATAATAAAACATCTCAGGAAAAGGTTCTTCAAACAAAGACATGGGGAAGGGATGCAGGGGAGAGATCCATAATAGTACTCTTAGCTGTGTTAGTTCGAGCAGACAGCCAGGTTTTCAACTTTGAGAAGCCTCACCTTATATGAGGGTATTGGAGAGAATAAAGAAAGAACTATTTAAGCACAAAGTTCATGAATAGGAGATTAATTTTTATAGTGTCCTAGAAGGCAAAAAGGAGCAAGAAAGAGATGGATTAAATTAACATTTCTTGGAAATGGAAGTAACAAGTGAATATTATTCAAAGAAAGAGATGGATGGAAAGACAGAGAGCATTAATTAACTGCATCTTATTTTTGCAGGAAAAGGCAGGGGAGGGTTGTTATAGTGGGTCTGACTCATGCCAGAATCCTGTTAGTTCAGATTCAACACTGGGATAAAACCAGTTACTAGTAGGTCAGTCAGTCAACAGCATTAGTTAAGGGCCTACTTTGTGCCAGGCATTGTGCTAAGTGCTGGAGATACAAAGAAAGGCAAAAAGTAATCACTGCTCTCAGGAGCTCACTAATAGGAGAGACAACATGTAAACGGCTATGTGGATCACACAGCTACTAGGTGTCTGAGGCCAGATCTGAACTCATGTATTCCTTACTCTAGACCTGGTGGTGCTCTATCCACTAAGCTAATTTGCTACTCTCTATTTGATCCTGGAGGTAAGAGGGGACCACTGGAACAGGAGGGAAGGTGACATGGTCAGACTTGCACTAGAGGAAGATCAATTTGATAGCTGAGTAGAGGATGGATTGTGGTGGGGAGAGAGCTGAAACAGAGAGACCAACCAATAGGTTATTGCAATGGTCTAGCCATGAAGTGTTGAGGGCCTGAACCAGGTTGATTGCAGTGTCAAAGGAGAGAAGAAGGTGTATATGAGAGATACTACAAAGGTAGAAGCTACAGGACTTGACCACTGATTGGTTGGGATAAGGTGGGATGGTGGGAGAAATGAGTCAGGAATGATACCTAGGTTGCAAATCTGGGTGACTGAGAGAATGGTGGTACCCTCAATAGTAATAGGGAAGTCAGGAAGAAGGGAGGGTTTTGGGGGAAAAGACAATGAATTAGGTTGGGGACATGCTGAGTTTAAGATGCTATAGAACATCCAGTTTGAGATGTCTAAAACGCAGCTGGGGGTGCAAGACTGGACGTCAGGAGAGAGGGTAGGGCAGGACATGTAGATCTGAGAGTCATCTGCATAGAGATGATAACTAAAACCATGGGAGCTGATGAAATCATCAAGTGATGTAGTGTAGGACTGTGCTCTATGGCATCTGAGCTAAGCTATGCACCTAATCCCCTTCCCAGAAACTGAGATAGTTCAAAGAGGGAGGAGGTTGTGTTTCCAGTGTTGGGGAAGCATGTTTGCATATTTGTTATTGTACCTTTTGAAGTAAATATTTCTGTGTCAAAATTAATCTGACAGTGGCTAAATGGAACTGGGTGCGGAGGACCATCCCGTACAATTGAAGGAATAGCATCAGTGGAGCTAGGGCCATTTGCAGAGAGACAACAGACCTCTCAAAAGTGCTGACAGGTACTGGAGCGTCCTGGGTGTGTGTGTGTGTGTGTGTGTGTGTGTGTGTGTGTGTGTTTAAATCTAACCTGCTTGGCCTGCAGGCAGAAGAAGTCAGGGTACTCTTGTGTTACACTACTTTTTGTCCATTCTTTTCCTTCACATCCTTGACCTTCAAGGATCCTTTTCACATCTACCATTGTAGGTGTAGATAAAAATTTACTTTGGGTTTCTGCACCACAGGGCACCTGAAATTTCCCCTAAAGATGCCTGCCAATGCATGGGGCAATATAAAAGGAGTCTAATTTATCCCTTACTAAGACAAGCAGGTTAACCTAAAAGGAAGGGTCCAAAGAGAGGGATTAAGCATTTAGGGTTGATTAGAATTTTTAAGTCATCATTTATGCCCTTCTATGGACTTGTAGTTTGTAAGGATCTTAAGCTGTTTAGACTCACATAAGGTAAATAGTCTAGGTCTTTTGAAAAAGGAAAAAAAAAAAGATGAGCTCCCACTGTATGCTCCAGGCAAACTGCTAGGCACAATTATTCATGGATGCAAAATTCATATTGCTCATATTCCATATTCATAACTGTAACAGTAATACAGCAGATATCAATAAATAAGCACACAAAAACCCAAAGTTAAATCAAAGAAATTGTCAAGACTTGTGAAAGAAACATATTGGAAAACTGCAAATATACCCTAAGACAAAATAAGAGGGTTCCCCCTCCCCCCCATCACTTCTTCAACCACTCCTTCTTAACTAGGCTCTCTAAGAGTGAGTCACTCCCTCCTTTACAGAAGAAACAGACTATTTCATTTCACATCCCATTTTCCATGTTGTATGTCCTTTGGAGATTGTTTCAGAAATATATGCCAGTTGTAAAATAGCCTGGACTCATGATCTGAGTAGACCAGAAGGCAGTATGAACAAACATTTTAGACCTACCCCAGTCTGATTTTGTACTTTGCCTTTTTCTTTTTAATTTTTTGTAAAATGGTGATGACCCATCTGTAGGGTTGCTGTGTCAAACCTTCAATGTTTGCTAAAAGCTTGGAAAAACTGGGAGAATTACATAAATGCTACTTCAGAACGTTAGTAGACACGTTAAGTGGTAATGATATCAATTTTATTTCATCCAGGATCTCATATGGTCTGTTCTAAGAGTTTTTACTAAGTTTAAAAGATGTTTTACTTGGAAGAATAAAAAATAATTAAAATGTTGCCAACCAAGCTACTGAAACAGGGTGTAAATAAATAACCACACTTAGCATTAGTCTCCAAACCAGGATGTCTTGGGCAAAGGAGATAACGCTCCTCTAGAAAAGAGCACTGTTGTAAACTTTTAATGTTCTTTGTGTTTTTCTTTTTTAAGGTTGGAATGACCCTAGTAAAGAAAGGGGAAGGGGGGGGTATTTTGTCAAATTAATCGTGGTGTCTGCCCTTGCACTTTTCTCAAGTTCACAAGGTGGAATCAATTTGCAAAGTCCCAGGAGTCCTGGCCTTGACGAGACCCTGAACAGTGTGTGTGTGTGGCGCAGAAAAGGAAGATCTATTCAATAGTTTCATTGGTGAGGGTAACAAAAATCCAATTCTACCGGGAGCGAGCTCGCCGTCCAGTGGACTTTCCCCTGCTCCTGCACCACCAACAGAAAGGGAAAGATGCTCTCCCTCCTTTCTTAGTGGAATCGGAATATCCGGCCAGGTGTTGAGGCTGGATTGCCAAGCGAGTCCCGCTACCACCCAAACCCCCCTCCCCCGCACCCCCACCTTCCGCAGGACGGAGGGCCTGGGAGGAGGCGCCGCGCGCCCCCACTTTCCGAGGCCCCCGGAGGCGGCGTGGGGCGGGGGCACGACAAGCAGGCTCCTCCCCTTGACATCGGAGGCCGCCCGCCCAGCTCGCCCTCAGCCTGCGGAGCCGCAGCCGGCCCAGCCCCAGCCCCGGCCCCCGGCCCTGGCCCCAGCCCGGCGCGGCTCCAGCGCGAGACCCCCCCTCTGCTCCTCCCACCGAGCTCTCCTGCCCCCAGCGGCCCGGGAGGAAGTGTAGGGCCGCGGCACCCAGGAAACGGCCGCCGCTCCGGAGGAGCCCCCGAGGAGGAAGAGGAGGAGGAGGAGGAGGAGGAGGGCAGCAGGGGAGGGGGAGGGTGGGGGGAGGGGGGCCGGGGGGGGAGCCGCGGCTGGAGGTGCCGCTCCGTATAAAGGGCTGGGAGCCGCGGGGCCGAGGCCACCCCGGGACGCGCGGCCCGAGCCCCGCGGGAGCCGCCGCCGCCGCCTCGGCCCCGATCGCAGCGGCCGCAGCAGCCTCAGCCACCTCAGCCTCCCGCGCCCCCTCCCCCTGTCGCTGGGGGAAGCCGGGCAGTCGCCGCTGCCGCCGCCTGAGCGGCTGCCCGGGAGCTGTAGCTGACGCGTCGCGGAGGAGGAGCCGAGGCGCGGGACCAGACGCCCGGTGCGGATCGTCGGCGGCCGCGGCAGGTGGGTTGCCGGGGGTGCCGGCGCCGGGGCTGCGGGAAGGAAGCGGGGCTGGGGGGCCTCCCGGGGGCGAGCTGCCCCCGCCACCCGGGGTCGGTCCGGTCGCCGCTGCCTGCCTCGTCCTCGTCCCCGGCATCGGCACCCCGAATCTCCCCCGGCGCTCCTCCCCCCTCGCACTCGGATTGCCGGTGTCATCCATCTCACCCCTACCACACACCCTGTTCCGAGGCGTTGCATGTGCGTACGCGCGTGTGCGTGTGCGTGTGTGTGTATGTGTGTGCACCCGGGGCGCTCGCCTCCTCCCTCTCCTGGTGTGATGGACTGTACAGCATCCCCCGTCCACCCGTGTAGGGGAGGCGCGCGCGGGTGTGTGTGAGTGCGTGTGTGTGCGTGTGCGGGGGGGGGGGGGGGCGGCGGAGGCGCGGGGTGTCGGCCTCGCTCTGTCGGGCCGCGTCGCCGCCGGTGGCCGAGGCCGCCCGGGGTGGGTGGACGGATGCTGACCCCGGGCCCTGGGAAGCCGTCCAGTCCCGTCCCTCCTCCTCCCCGAGCCGCCGTGGCCCGCGCTCCCGCGCTCCCCCAGCCGCTCCGCAGGGTCGCCGGCCGGCTTGCCAGGCTCCCGGTGCGGGGCCCGGGGCACCTTCTAAATGAGCCCCACGCTGTCCAATGGCGGAGGGCCGGGGCCCGGGAGGTGGCGCGGCGCTCACCAATGGGAGCCCGCGCGGCCTTTCTGCGCGAGGAGCCCGGGGTGGAGGGAGCTGGGGGGGCTGGGGGGGCTGGAGGGGGCTGGAGGGTGCTGGAAGGGGAACCGGGGTGGTGACTGGGGCTGCCTCCAGGCAGAGGGGGTTGCGTCATCCTCGCTTTCAGCCCGTTTGCCTCTGTGACCCTGGATGCCCCGGACTGGTCACTCAGTGCTGTGCAGCTCGGGCCCCTTAGTGTTAGACCCAGAGCTTGACTGATGCTGTCGTCCGTCCATCTGCTGAAAGCGCAGACTGTTGATGTAAATTCCTTGACAGGAGAATCCTGTGTTGGTGTGTGTTTGATAGGCTTGGGCCAGAGGTGCTGTGTTTAGGGGAGGAGGTTGGAAGATGTTGCCTTAAGGTTCATTACCATGTCCAAAGATTAAAGGTGAATTTCAGTAAGATTGTCAACTCCCAAGTTACTTCACGAATAATATTGCTACTTCTGGGCCTCCAAAAAAGAGAGGCGGTCTTTCTTTAAAGAGGTGGGGGACTATGGATGTTGAACATTGGTTATGCTGTCAGACTGGGCTGATGTTGCTAGTTTTGCCTAACTGATATTTTTTTCGTCTTTGTTACCAGAAATGGCGGGCTAGGTAGGGAAGGAGGGAGGGATACCTTCGGAAAATGAAGGTGATGTAAAAACAAAAGATAATCAAAATGAATTTTCTAATTGCTATTTTGAGGAAAATATTTTAAAAACAACTTAGAATATCATTAGGATAGTTGTTCCCAAAGTGCTTAAAAAAGAGTTTATTTTGGCTGTTTGTAACCATATTGGAAAAGTATGGAAATTTCCTTTTTCATCTTTGGTGAGGGTAGGGATATGCTTCCTCCAAAAATGTCCTCTCCTTCTTTGTTTCTCCTGTCTATAACCTCCTGTAAAACACATGTTGGAGGCTTTCATCTTCTGACAATGCATGGGTAGATACCAGTGGAGAAGAGTAATGACTATGGAAAAAATGATTTTTGTAAATGGCTTCTCATGGTGTTATTTTTCTGCATAACCTGAAAAACTTTGTATATAGCATTGTTTGAAGAGTTTGCTTCTCCTTATTGGGAAATAAGTGTATGATAATTTATAAAAGAAAAAAATGTATAGACTATGGGAGAATAACTTCAGTAGTTACATAGGTATAAAAGTGGAATAAATTTCAAATGGAATATCGAAATGTTGGACCTGGTTAAGGAGATGGAAAATTGTGGGAAATAACATTATAGTCCAGTTGTATTTCAGCTAAATCTCTTTTGTCTTCCTTATTTGTTTCATATGAGAGCTAAACATACTGGTTTAGGAGTACTTTAAAGACTTTCTACCTAATTTAAACATGGGTTCTTTGAAAAGAGTTGACCATTAGGATAAAGAAAAAAAATCATTCTTTTCCTTTCTATTACCCTCCCTCTGTAAAAGAGTGGAGTCTAAAGTTTTCTTTGATAATTTAAAAAAATGTTCTTCCACTAGTGAGAAATCCAAAGGTCAGCCTCTGCCACAACTCACCTGTGAGTACATTTGTATTTCTGTGTCTCAGTTAGTAAATGCTTTATGCATGTTAGGTACTGATAAGGCTCCTTGCTGCACTATGAACCTTGGGGTGCATATGTGAAAGTACAGACCCTTTTTACATATACGTTGATCTACATTGCAAATAAAGGGTTTTTAGAACCTGATATTTATCATTCATTCATAGATTGGGCCTGTGATTTCATTGGTTGCAAGGAAATGCCCATGAGGAAACCCTTTCTACTAATGCTGGTTGGCACCGTTTCTGAAGTGTATAGTCTTAGAAAAGTGTTAGAGCAGGGGTGTCAAACGCATATGGAAAGAGAGGGTACTAAACCACACATGAGGATCCTTGTGTGTGACTTAAAAAGCTACAAATTAACATCCTCTATGTTCCATTGTATTTTTATTTTATTGATTTCCCAATTGCATTTCAATCTGATTTATTGCCAACTGAGAAGTGTTGGGCACTTTTGCCCTATGGTATTGAGAGATTAAGTGATTTGCCTGTGCTTATACAGCCAGTATATGTCAGAGGTGGGACCTGAAATCAGGTTGTTTTGGCTTCAAGGCTGAATCTCCCATTCTGCAACACTGCCTCTTACTCATTTATCAACCATATCTGAGGAAATAATGCCTGTGGTAAAGAACACTTTCATCTCATTGATTAATGTTCTAAGGATGTTTGCAGGAGAAGGAGGTTTATAAGTTTCTGAGAGGCAGTAAAATCTTTTCTCCGTGTGTGTGTGTGTGTGTGTGTGAGCGCGCGTGTGTGTGTGTGTGTGTGCGCGTGCGTGTGTGTGTGTCCAGACCTGTAAGGAAACTACCAAGGTAGTTTTAGGGAATTGCCTAAAATATGGCAAAGAGGAGCACTTGAGCCCAAGTTTTCCTGATTTGGAACCACTTTATTGCTTTCTTTTTACAAAATGGAAAACTGAACTATGGAGACAGTCAACAATTCCAGGAGTTACTGGGATCAATTTGCTAGGGCCAGTTGTTGGGGCTTTCAATGCTGTGCTTAGTCTTCCATTGCGGTTCTATTAAAAGACTATGACAAGTAAAAGGAGAAAACTTAAAGGTGTTGGTCAGAAAACAATGTAGAACTTTCTGATTAATTAACATGTTATTAACAAACAAAAACCCAACCTTACCACCAAAAAAACTGGGTATCACGACCTCTTGTGCTGCACTAAAACAAAACAAAAGTCCATTAAAAAATGGAGTGACATCTGTTTTGCACCATTTTATGTTTACTAGAAGAACTATGTTAGTTAATAGATGACATATATAACTTTTTCTACAAGAAGCCTAAAGACCTAATTCCAAGTGAACCGAGGCAAACAGTATCAGCCCCATTTTACACGTAGGGAAAATGAGTAACAGACATTGAGTGGACACAATCTGAATGAATAGGGCCAGTGCTGGAGTCATAACTGTCTAGTCTATTTATCACTTCTTTCATCCCTTAAAGATTAGTGTTTTTCCTTGGCCTCATTCTTTTGAATAGAAGGAATGAGATGCTGCCAGATTTAAAATGTGTCATATTCCCTCATTTCTACTTTGAAAGTGAGTCAATTTGCTCTATAACTCAATTATAAGTTGGTTTTGGCTTAATGGTTTTGCCTTCATTTCCTCTCTGGCCACAGTAGAAACACTAATATTTTATTGTTACAGGTTGCTGCTGTTGAACACATGTTTGTGGAGCAGAGTTGAATAATACTGGTTACATTTACTATTCTTTTGGAAAAAAGAAAAGAGATATCTATAATATGGCCTCTTTAATTGTTCAGTCATCTCATATGAGAAGTAACCTTTACCATAAGTCTAGATTGAACTTTTTTCAAATGATCTCATAGAAGTTTCATGAAATTTTATGGTTGGCTAACTGAATTAATTTGGTTGACTGTAATTTCTTTCATAATATGATAAGTCTTTTTCCTGAACTTTTTCTTCAGACTAAATTTAGCATTTCACTTTTGGCATTCTAAATTTATCATCTCATGCTGAATTTTAGGCAATTAGGTCCATTCTAAATAAAGTTATTTCATATTTAAATTCTGTGTCATCTTTCATTTAATGATGGAATCTTTTCCACTTTATTAGCTTTAAACTGAAAGTGACATAGATCCTGAGTAACTGATCTTTGAAATGTAATTTTGTTTTGGGTCTTGAGAACAAGAGGAAACCAGTTTGACCCTGGCAACTTGTTTGGGTCCATGCTGAAGAATTGTCAACGGTAGTTCGCGTATCAACTGAATTAAAATTAAACTTATGACCCAGATAGTGTTTTATTGGCCAAGCTGTGTTATCTTTGCTGAACCTTAATAAATACAAGTATCCTTCAGTACATGAAATATCAGCTCTCTCTGTCCATTTAATCCTATTTACAGTAATATAAAAAATTTGTTTTAAAATTGAACTTAAAGCCTAATTAAAATGAACACGTCTGTATATGCAGAACAAAAAAAGAGGATTTTCTCTTTTACGTGACTCTTTTATGCATAGCTTGCTTTTCTTCATAATATGTAAAATTCAAAATTTTATAGTTAAGGATATTTTATAAGACCAAAGACAAAAACAGTTGATCTCTCCTGGTGAGTGCAGTGGAAACAGGATGTATGCTATTAGTTGCAATGTTACTTTAGGGTTGTTTTTTTTTACTATAGTAATGATTATTGGAGAAGCCCGGGTTTAAGATGGAGAAAGACTTTTCTGTCTTGATAGCATTATTTTGTTTCACTTAATAATGATGATGATAATAAATT